CAGGAAAGCTGACGTTTCAGGCCTAGACCCTTTGTCAGCTTTCCTGCTCCTCTGATGCTGCTTGGCCTGCTGTGTTCATCCAGCTCTACACCTTGTTATCTTATGAATTTTCACTTCAGTTTTAAAAAAAGTACAGCTAAGCTTCTGTTAGTATTGATGTCTTGCAAGACAAGTATGAAAAATCAAATTTGTGCATTGAACATATCTGGAACTGGATTGCAATTGACAAAAGTGTACAAGTATAAAATAATGGCTTGTGATGAATTATCAAATGTTTCTCTCTTCACAGATGCTGCCAGATATAAGTCTTTCTGGCCTTCCTATGAATGTAAAAGTAATAATGTTAGTTGTGAGACCAATAGAAGGTCCCATTAAGATATCCCCATTATTAGACCTAGGGTTCTGGGAATGGAAGTTTAGCTAAGTCCTTATTTAAGACAAAAATGCATGTCAGTGCAGTTACGGTCTTTGTGATGATATTACACTTAATATAAATATTAAGACCCAGCCTAACCACGTGGACACACACAGTTTGTGGCAAGGCTTACACGACATAATGTGCTACAAAGCAAAATTGAACAGAATTGTGGACAATAGTATATCCTTACCAGACAAGTCCATGCATTCTATGCTCACTTTGAACAGGAGGTCAGCAAAACTGTCACCTATTCCAACAGTCTCGGATGCTCCTGTATCCACAGTCGCTACTTGTATACATTAGATTGGCCTTCTTGAGGGTGAACCTACGGAAAGCGACTGGCCCAGATGGAGTCCCCTAATGTGCACTCAGATCCTGTGCAGACCAGCTGGTGGGTGTATTCGCAGACATCATTAACCACTCCTTACTATGATCTGAAGTGCCCACCTGCTTCAAGAAGAGCACCATCATCTTGGTGCCAAAGAAAAATCACGTAGAGTGTCTTGATGACTACTGTCCAGTGGCTCTGACTTCCATAATTATGAAGTGTTTTGAGAGGTTAGCCATGGCTCACATCAACTCCAGCCTACCAAATTGCCTTGATCCTTTTCAATTCACCTACCAATGCAACAGGTCCACAGCACATGCATTTCCCTGGTCCTACATTCATCCCTGGTACATCTGGATAACAAGGATACCTACGTCGGGCTCCTACATATTGATTACAATTCTGTCTTCAACACAGTAATTCCAAACAAACTCATCTCTAAACTCTGAGACCTAAGTTTTAGCTCCCTCCTCTGTAACTGGATGCTCAAATTCCTGACCCATAGACCTCAATCAGTAAGAATAGGTGACAACACCTCCTCCATAATCCTCAGTGCCAGTGCCCCACAAGGATGCATACTCAGCCCCCCTTCTCTACTCCTTATACGGTCATGACTGTGGCCAACTTCCACCCCCAATGCCGTTTACAAGTATGCTGACGACATCACCATTGTAGGTCGGATCTCAATCAATGACAAAACAGAATAGAGGAAAGAGATTAGTGTTTAGCGGCATGGTGTAAAGACAACAATCTCTCCGTCAACATCAGCAAAATGAAGGACTTCCGGAAGCAGAGTGGAGGGCGCACCCCTGGCTGTATCAACGGTGCCGAGGTGGAGATGGTCGAGCGTCAAGTTCCTGGGAGTGGTGATGACCAACAATTTGTCCTTGTCCACGCACGTTGATGTGACCATCAAGAAAGCACAACAACGTCTACTTCCTCGGGAGGCTAAGGAAATTTGGCATGTCCACAAGGTCTCTTACCAATTTTCATAGGATGCTTCCTATGGTGCATCTATCTGGATCTATAGCAACTGCTCTTCCCAAGACCACAAGAAACTACAGAGAGCCTTGAACACAGCCCAGTTCATTACACAAACCAGCCTTTCATTTACTGACTCCATCTACACTTCCCGCTGCTTCCAGAAAGCAATCAACATCATCAAAGAACACTCACCCCCCGACCCCGACCCTGGTTATACCCACTTCGTCAGCCAGAAGATGTAAAAGTTTGAGTACGCATACAAATAGATCCAAGAACAGCTTCTTCCACCCTGTTATCAGACTTCTGACGGACCTTTCAAATGTTAATTCTGAGCTTTCTCTCTGCACCTTGTCTGCAGCTGTAACACTGTAATTTGCACTCTGTTCTGCTACCCTGATGCACTTTGTATGGTAAGATATGCCTGTATAGCATGCAAAACAAGACTTTTCACTGTATCTTGGTATATGTGATGACAATAAATCAATCAATCTATTAGATAATATGGAGTTCAACATTTCTTGTAATAAACTGTCTCAATTGGACACATCTGTTTGTAATTTCGGCATCATATGTAATACATCTACAGGAACCTAAATAAACACAACCTTGAGCTATTGGGAAAGTAGTAAGATGGAGTTGGTCATTCAGCCCTTTGAACCTTGAGTCAACATAGTGTAACAATGTAAAGGATGTTGGTCAGCGAGAATCTAATTCCAGAATGGAAACCTCCAAATGTGAATTTGACAGAATAGTCCATTCGTAGTCTGCCTATTTTCAGAATGGGTAATTAAAATGTCTTAAATAACAGAAATCCACCAAAAGTTGTCTCTGGCGGAGTCCGTTGACTTGCAGTCCCTTGTATTACCTCTATCCGCACCAGTTGTCCTTTATTGAGCTGGAGGATAGCATAGCCCCAAGCCAAGTTGTTGTGCTGATGTTTTTTCCTGCTACTATGAAGTGTTATTGTGTGGATACCATCAACAGAAAGATAACTAAGACCAAGTCCATGACTGAATTCCACAGTTGCCACAAACACATAAATGCCTTTGAGTGGAGCTCTGAAGTAACCCTTTTCCACTGAATATGCATCTCCGTAGTTCAGGAATATCTGGTCAAACTTTAAAGGCAAGTCAGTTCCAGAGTTGTTGGAAAGTCCCACATAAAATGCGACATCAGATTCTGTAAAAACAAAACGCAAAAAGTAGATCAAAGTTAAGCTACTGATGGTCTTTTGTGTTATTGGTTGAAGATAAAATATTGATGAAGATTACAGGAGCACACTCAGTTCTTTTAAATAGTCCAGTAGCATATACTGCAACAGGCATGAGCACTTTCGCAGGGAAAGTAGGAATGGGCAATTAACATTTAGGATGTGGTTATTGGCTAGCAAACGTTTCTTTTAAAAAAAGAACTCAAGCCACCTTGTAAAAATTGCAACCCAGGATCATGACTAAGGCAAACACATCCCAGTCAACTTCTCTAACTTCTGAGGGCATGTACTCAAGGTAGAACAGCTGTTTTCTGGACTACTTGACTGACTTGGTTGTACTTGCTCAATCACATCTATTTATGAGCTGCGATCCTGTGATCGTCCCTCAACAGCAGGATAGTCCCACAGAGAAGAAAAATGACCAAGTTGAATACCCCTACAAGGTCAGTATTGTCTGCAAATGATAAATCTTGTAGCATCATGACAAAGCCAAAAGCAATATACAGGTTCAGCAAGGAATAGGGAAGGCAAGTAGAATGTTGGCCTCTACTTCACAGAGAATGGAGTATAAAAATAGGGAAGTCTTGCTAAAACCATACAACGCACTAGTTAGACCACAGACGATTGAACAGTTTTGTTTCCCTTATCTAAGGAAAGATATACTGGCATTGGAGGCAGTCCAAAGAGAGTTTACCAGGTTGATCCAGGCATGGAAAGATTTTCTTATGAAGAGGGAGTGAGTAGTTGGGTCGTGAGATGACCTTATTGAAATGTAGAAGATACTTAAGTGGGTTTGACAGGGTCGAAGCTAAGAGGTTGTTTACCCCATGGGAGAAACTAAAACCAGAGAGGCTAATATCAGAATAAGGGCATAACATCAGAGTAAGGGACACCCATTTAAAACTGTAATAAGGTGAAATTTCTTCACTCAGAAATGGTGAAGCTGTGGAATTTTTTTATTTACTATACAGGGTTCTAGAGTATGGGACGTTAGGTATAATCAAGACTGAAATTAGACAGAGTTTTAATTGGTAAAGGAATTGAGGGTTATGGGTGATGTGGATATGAAGATTATCAGATCAGCCATGATCTCATTAAATGGCAAAGCAAATTCCAAGGGTCGAATAGCCTACTTCTGCTCCTACATTTTATGATCAAAGAAACCTTGTACTAATCAAAACCTATTCCTTCTAGGATCCCACAACCGATCAATTAGAATTGCTCCCTGTTGAGCATCATTTAGCAGAAGCTGTAAGGAAAGTCCAAATTCATTTTGGGTGGAGAGATTTGCTCATCTACCACTGAGTGGTTTTGTGATACCATCATTGACTGAGTTCTGAAGACATTGTTGTGTAGTAAAATGTTTCAAAGAAACATGCCATGATATAAACCACCAACTAAAAGAAAAATATTGTAGAAGTAGGACCAAATGCTTGTTTAAAGTAATAGGTTTTAAGTTGCACGTTAAAAGGAGGACTTGGTGGCAGAGGGGTGTACATAGCGAGTTCTCCAGGATTTGTCCAAGATGGCAGCCAGCATACCAGTGGTGAGCCATGGGGGAAGGAAGCATAAAAGGTAGAAAGGAAGAGAGCAGAGAATTTGGATGAGAGCCAATTGTAGAGCCAGAGGAAGTTAATCCAATAAGGAAGACATAGAAAATAGGAGGGGTGTGGGCCATTCAACCCTTCCAGCCTGTTCCATCATGGCTGATAGTCCAACTCAGAACCTTGTTCCCACTTTCATCCCATTCCATTTGATCCATTTAGCCCTAAGTAGTATATCTAACTCCTTCTCAAAAACATTGTGTTTTGGCCTCAACTGCATTCTGTGGCAGAGAATTCCAGGCTCACCACTCTCTGGGTGAAAAAATTTCTCCTCATCTCAGTCCTAAATGGACTACCTCATATCCTTAGACTGTAACCCTGGTACTAGACTCCCTGGCCATTGGGAACTTCCTTATTGTCTAGTTCTGTTAGAATTTTAAAAGGAATCAAGCTGGTAACCTTTGTTGTACTACCTCCATAGCCAGAACATCCATCCTCAGACAAGGAGACCAAAATGCACATAATACTCCAGGTGTGTTCTCACCAAGGCTCTGTACAAATGCAGGAAAACATCTCTGCTCCTTTACTCAATTCCTCTCGCTATGAAGGCCAACATACCATTTGCCTTCCTCACCACCTGCACGCTTACTTTCAGAAACTGGTGTACAAAAACACTCCGGTCTCATTACATCCCTCCCTTTCCCAATCTATCTCTGTTCCAATTATAATCTGCTTTTCTCTTTTAATTGGCAAAATGGATAACCTCACTTTTAGCCATATTATACTTCATCTGCCATGCATGTGCCTGCTCACTCAATTTGTTCAAATCACACTGAAGCATCTCTGCATCCTCCTCACAGCTCACCCTCCCACTTAGCTTTGCCTCCAAATGTGGCGGTATTACATTTAGATGCCTCATTTAAATAATTAAAATATACTGTGAATAGTTCAAGCACTGATTCTTACAGTATCCCACTGGTCATTGGCATCACATCACTTGCCCAAACCCTGTCCAATTCCCACACATATGCACAGTATGGACTTTGCAAAGCAATTAATGACTTAGAGGGTCTGATACTGTGTATATGTACCTTTCTGACTGAGCACATATGTGCAGTCACCTCATAGTTCCAGTGTTGTCAGATACTGCCTTAATTTTACATGCTAATCTCTTATGTCGGACCTTTATTAAAAGCCTTCTGAAAGTCCAAGTAAACCATATCCACTGGCGTCCTATCATCGACTCCACTGACTACATCACTGAAAATTTCCAGCAGATTTGTCAAAACATGATTTCTGTTTCATAAGCCTATGCTGACTCTATCTGATCCTGTCTCTGTTTTCCAAGTGCTTTGCTATTAAATCTTTTATAATAGACTCTAGCATTTTCTCTGCTACTGATGTCAAGGTAACAGTCTATAATTCCCTGTTTTCTCTCTACCTTTTTTTAAATTGTGGGGTTACATTGCCACCCTCCAATCCATAAGAACTGTTTCAGAGTCTGTAGAATCTTGGACAGTGATCACCTAGGCATCCACTATTTCTTACGTATTCTGGACTGTAGATTATCAGGCCCTGTGGATTTATTGGCCTATAATCCCAACAATTTCCTCAACACCATTTCTCTACTAATACTGATTTTCCTTCAGTTTTTTCCCCTCACTAGATCCTGTATTCCCCAACATTTTTGTGTCCTCTTTTGTGAAGACAGAACCAAAATATTCATTTAATTGGTCTGCCATCTTTTGTTTTATCCCCCCTTATAACTGCCTCTTTTTCTGCTTGTAAGGGGCCTACATTTGCCTTCAGTAACCTTTTTCTCTTCTTGTACCTATTGGAAGCTTTTTATAATTAGTTTGTATGTTTCCCACAAGCTTATTCCTTTATTTTCCTATCTTAATGAAGTTCTTTGCCCTCCTTTGCTGAAATCTAAACTGCTCCCAATCCTTCAATCTGATGTTATTTTGGCCAATTGTTATACCTCAAAGCAATGAAGGAGTTTGAAAACGAGTGTGAGATAATGGATAGCAGAGGCTGGTTAAGCTGAGGGTTATGGAGGATTTAAAATGGGTGAAGAGGTATATTGTGCAGCAGTCCCATTCCCATACAACAGATGAACAATGCACTCACCTTGTACATCTGGAATGTTACTTTGGTTCACTACAGTTGAGGCATTTCCATAAAACCCCAGCAGTTTGTTGCCCTCGTGACTTTGCCTGTGCCATTTCCTCATTCGCTTGAAGCCGAAACCACCTCGCCCAGTACGAAATGTCCCATTCAAAAGATTACTCCTGTTCCCAGTGAGATTCTGAAATACAGAGATGTGGCTATCAAGAAGCTGTTTCAGAGATGACACGTCTGACTGCACCGTGTCCACAGACTTTGTCATCAGTTGCTTTATCTGTTCCAAGCTCTGGTTGTAATAACGGTCCTCATTACAATGGGCTTCCAGTTTAATTACTTTCAAATTCAATATCTCAAGATCTTTTTTAATGCTTGATACTTCATTGGAGTCATATTTTGAATCATCCATCTGTTCCTTTTCCACTGCTTCGTAATTTGGTTCCATGTATTCAAGGGAACGGTGGTCTCTATCAGCTATTTCCGAAGAGTTTTCCCTCAAAATGTTTTTGCCATGATCAGCACTAATTAATTCCTTAATTTTATCACTTGACTCTTCAAGTACCTGAACCCTCTCATTGATGTTTTCCAAAATTATTTTATGGATAGCAAGGTCTTTCTCTGTCTGATTAAGGTTTTGATTTAAATTGCTAATAGAGAGCTTTTGGAGCTCTGTTGCACCTTCAGATGTGATCTCCAGTATGTCCTCCCCTGTCACACTCTGCAGAATGACTGTGTGCCTCAAAGTATCTTCCAAAAGGGAATTGAAGGAACTATTGAGATATTTAATCCAAGAATCCAAGGTAGCATCATTTTTTTTCAAATGGCTAATTTCTCCCATAATCATTGTGAAGTTTTTCTTGAGTGTTGTGATGCTTTCAGTTAACATTCCAACTTCTTTTTGGTGCAAGTACAAGATGTTCTGTACATCTTGATGTTTTTGTTGCAAAGACCTGAACAAATCTTGAACAGAATAATTTAAATTAATTCTTAGGTCAAGCTGCTGCTGTTTAAGATCACTCAGTTCGAAATATATTTTGTCCATGAAGTTACTATCATTCCTTAAGCTATTAACAACTATAACATAATCCTGAATTAACTTTTGACAGTCGCAAATCTGGTCATCTTCTAGCATGCTATATAACTTGCGTTTCAGTTCTTTCACATCATTGTCAAGGTTGTAAAAAAGTTCTTCCTGATTTAAATTTCGATGATTAAAGGAAACATTCAGTTTCAAAATGTTCTCTCTCAAAACCATATTAGTGTCATTCAGTTTTTGATTAACCTGTCTTTTCAGGCCAGCTACCAGTAGTGCACAACTTGATTCTTGCTTCTCCAAGTGTTGCTCAATATCAGGAGTCACTTTTGACACAGGATGACATAATCCACAGATTCTGTTTAAGTGTGTAAGATTCCTTGAATGTATCTCAATGGTTTCCCTAAGGTGATCCAAGTCCTGTTTTGACAATCCTTGGACCTGCTGGACATGTTTTGCGTTGCATGATGGACATGATTTTGAGTCTTTGAGCTCAATGATCTTTGACAGTTGATGATTTAATGTGTGGACTTGTTGCCATAGTCTGCCTTGTTCTTCCTTCATCTCAGCTGTTGCGTTATCCAGGAGATGTGATTTCATCTGAATCATCTTCTGGCTGCGCTTGACTTTTAGATCTGTCTCTGTTTTAATTGTGGTTAGGTTGTGGTCAAGATTAACCTTCTGGGCATGTAATTGATAATTGAATTTCTGTTGTTGATCATTTAACATGTCTTTAACCTTCTGTAGTCGCACAGTGTTCTCGTCAAGTTTTGATTGCAACTTAATGTTAATTTCCTCCAGTTCCCTTTGAGGTGTTTGCTGTTTCAAGAGCCCATTAATATTCTTTGTGTTGACTTCTATATCTTTTGATAAATTGAGGACCATATCAGAGAGGTTCTGCAGGCTTTTGTTAAAGGTTGTCCACAATGAATGAAGGTGTTGTCTCAAGTAATTTTCAACATGAGGCTTTAATATATCCTGAAGCACGAGAAATTCTGTAAAATGAAAATATGTTTCATGTAAGGCAAGTGTAAGATATTTTAGCTGATTATCCACATCACAATCCTACATGACCTTCAAAAACAAAATTCTGTATCTGTCTATAAAAAGAAACCTGTGGAAAGAAACAGCCCAGAGCAGAAGGAGCAGTGATGAATGCTGGAGAAAAACAAACTCATGAGCAAATGAATTTAGCTTCTAAAGTTAAAACAGCTTTTAAGATTGACAGCAAGGTGGTTTGGTCGAGGAAGAATGTTCTAAGATGATGGAGCTAGGTTGATCAGTAAAACCAAGGGAACAGAATGGTATGTACTGCCAGCAAACACCAGCTCAATATAAGGGAGTTAGGGCTGGGTTTCAGTAACTTGAAGGCAATGTCTTGTCATCATTGATCTGGAGGACAGAAAGCTAGCAGAGTATAGCAAAGATAGTGATGACAGGAGCAAGGAATTCAAAGAGGCTAGAACTCCAGAGACAAGATTCTTGGAATTAGTGGAGGTTGGGTAAGAAAAAATTAGATAGAAAGTTGCTGTTGCTAACATTTGAAAAAGAAGACTCCCAGGAATTTTTGGATACAGTTTTGACAGTGTGTGCAGAAAGATTAAAATGATATGGATCCAGAAAAATCCATTTTCTCTCCAGGCTCTAAACCTCACATTTAATGAACACACTGTAGGTAGCAATAGTGTCGCTTGCTACTTTAAACCTACTTTTTTATTTTGTGTTATGACAAAGCATCAAAGTGCCTTTCTGACCCCATGATGACAACATTGTTGACGTGATTCACTCCGTTCAGTTTTGAAGTTGCAGCACTTACTATCAGAAAAAAAAAATCACTTTTCAGGTTTCATCTGGAAATTGGTCCCTTTGGGTGATACAAGCCCTTGGAATAGTTCCAGCATAAGAGGCAGTTCGCTTGAGCAATGAATGTCCCTTTTGATGTTTCTAGAACAGCCACCAGGAGGTGCAGGTGAGTAGTCCTGGGTAATGTCTCCTGTGCTGGTTTTAAATGTATTTAAAAAACTGCAGTATTCATGGGTTGTCTTTCAGTAGCACTGCTCTGGAGAGCAAAATCTATTGGTTACAATCATATTCTCTGGAGAACATAACAAGATCTTTGAACGCTTGCAGTGAATTTGCATCAGCTGCATAGAATCTTACAGAAAGAGACTATTTGGCCTGTTGTGTCTGTGCCAGCTCCTTGAAAACCACCCCATTTAATCCCAAATTCTGGCTTTACCTCCATGACCCTGCAAATCAGTCCTTTGAAGTACAAGCCTTTTTGAAGTTCTTTATAGAATCTAATTTCAACATCCTTTCATGTTCCAAAAACCACTGACTGTCTGAAAATAGAAATATCTCCACACAGTTGTGTAGAAACTAATATTTATGGACCCTTGTTAATCTACAAAGTTGAAATTTGTTTGAAATAGAGTCTTAAGTGTGGACTTATTTTGAAGACTTCAATCGAATCCATTCTATGTTTTGAAGCAGAAGTTTCAGCTCTTAAGTGTTTCAGTTAGCACAACAGGCTTTTAGGTTTCAGAGATTAAGGGTGGGCTGTACCTGTTCTGTTTTCCTTGGTTTTGTTTGAGGGACTAATTTTTGACAGGTTGTTCAGTAGTTCCTGAAAGGCCTGAGTTGAGGCAGTGGTGGCAAAGACATCGTCCTGTAGATGATGCAGCTTCGAGTCCAAGTCCTGCAGGTCGTCAGTTGACGTAATGTGTTCTGCTACAGCAAAACAAAAAGAGCATAGGTGAGTGCAGGCAGCACCAGAGGCTGAGCTCCACAAAGAGCTGCACAGGTTCACACCCTGCAAATGCTGGAAATACTCAGCAAGTCAGGCAAGCACTGCAATTAGAAAAACAAATAATGTTTCCATCTGTGACGGTTCATCAGCTCTTTCATTATCTTTCTCCCTCCCCATATCACCCAACCTGCTGAGTATTTTCAGCATGTCAGAAAGACTTGGCAAGTAAATAATGCATAGGAATTGTCTGCTGCAAGAAACACGGTGGCCTGTTACATTCAGCCTCCTGGTGGTCTCCTGATAGAATAATCCTGTAGTTAGTTGACTCAACACAGGAATGATCTCCATCAATAAGTCTACAACAGAGTCATCAGAGCTGTTGTGATGCAATGGTAGTGTCCCTATCTCTGAGCCAGAAGGCCTGGGTTCAAGTCCCACCTACTCCAGCAACTCTGAAAGGACTAATTAAAAATATCTACACCAGAGCTAAAGGAAACAAAGCCCCCGCCGTCTGCTGGAGATCTTTAGGAAACACGAGTCAACAGTTACTTATTCCCTCCGAAGCACACTTAGATTATACTGTGACCCAAATTACTTTAATACCAAATCCTGGAAGGTTATTTTAATGTGCACAATTTTCATTTCAATGGAACTGCTTACCAGGGGCAGCAGATTGACCGTCACTCATTGAAATGTGGCTTCCACAGAATAGGTTTCAAATGAACCCCCTAAATGGATTGGAGCAAGAAGTCCCAGAGACTGATTCCAGGTTGGGCTCAGTTGACTGATCTTATCCCGAACTCACTGCAACAACGTGATCAATGAGAGAATATCCTAGATTCAAGAACGAGGTCAATTGTCCCTGTTCCCTTGTTGTAATGAGATGAGAGTCACCACTGGAGCTGTATCTGAGCTGATTGAAACCAGATCAAATGCTGAATTAGGTGCAGCTCTCAGGATCAGTGAGAAACTATGTTATAACAGCAATATAAGGTAAAATCTCAATGATTGGATTTCGCAGCTGCCTGCATCATCTTCTCCCTACCAAACTGTTAAACAGTAAGCAAGAGGACAGAGGTGATTTCCTTAGCTGTTTAAACACCATCCCTCTGCCCATTATCTGACTGAGTCCACCAACTCATGAAACATTCCCCGACCCACATGGTGTGGAACAGTTGAGAATGCAATGAGTTCCAATAAATATTTGCAAATTGATGAAAGGACATTTAGGAACCCAAAGGAAAATTATCAGGCAAAAATCGCTAAAGTTTCCTCAAAAGGAAAAAGACCATTATCAGAAGTTGTTTAATTGATAACCAAAGATAACGAATTAAAGCCATTTAATGGAGCAGATCTGGAGAGAAAAAATACCATAGGAGAGACTTCTGTTAGTAATGAATAAAGGTTACATGGGGAGCTAGTTTGTAATGAATTGGAGGGTGATGGTCCTAATTCACCGTATTTCTTGAGGCTTCATCATACGACCCCCTGGCCCCTCAATCCACCCTTATTTATTCCCAAAATTCCTGCAGCAATTGGAAAGTGAAAATACTTCGTTACTTATGCAAAATAATCGTAACTACCCTGCAAACAGCCTGAATGGTCACTAATAATTTTATAAGTAATTACCAAAATTGTCCAAAGAAGATTTAAAAGGGTTATTTTTGTTTTGAAAGCCTCCTTGATTTTTTTCCCCCCAGGTCGCGGGCAGGAATGTTCTTGATTAATCTTTAATTTCTGAAGACCCCAAGACAATGGCAGAGGATTGACAATTGACAAATGAGCAAGGTGTTAGCAATTTATGTATGTTGGTTAGAGCTGATCTCCATATTGTGTTACCAGGAACTCAATGGTCCCACAGTAATGGAGCACTGTTGTTGATGTTGATGTTGCTGTTGTTAAATGTATAGAAGATGCTGCCCTGCCTAGGCCAGGCCCTAACACATGGTTCTCTATTTTATCAGTCTCAAGATTGAAAGGCTGAGAGTAGCTGCTCAGCAGTGAGTTAAATCAAAATCATCTGGGGGCCTGAACTATTTATCAGTCCAAAATAACCAGCAAGTAGAAGAATTGAAAGCCACAAGATTTCCAGTGAATTGCAGAGATTTCCATGGGATCAATCTTGGGACTTCCTGAATGAGGAGAGAGCACGCTTCCTGCAAAGAGCTGTTTTTTTTTTTTATTCTGTGACTGACCAGACTGGATATGAAGACACAGAGATAGTAGGAACTGCAGATGCTGGAGAATCCGAGACAACAAGGTGCAGGGCTGGATGAACACAGCAGGCCAAGCAGCATCATAGGAGCAGAACTATCTCTGATTCAATTTTAACCCCACTGCGAAGCCTCTTCTAAGGATGCCTAACCTGAAGAAGTTACCCTCCTCCCTCCGGACAAACCTCAAGGGATCTCTCTCCCACTGCAACTCCTCTCCACCTATCCTCTCCTCTATCCCTCTTCTATCCGCCTCCCACTCTCTCCCTATTTATTTCAAAACCCCCTTCCCCTCCCCCTTTTCTGATGAAGGGTCTAGGCCCGAAACGTCAGCCTCTCTGCTCCTATGATGCTGCTTGGCCTGCTGTGTTCATCCAGCCCTGCACCTGGATATGAAGACACACCTGTCTCCCAGGAATACTGCAAACACAATGTGGGACTGGCATAAGGGATGGATTCTGCTAACTGCTTATCTCTCTCTCTCTCTTAAAGGGGGGAGCTCCTTCAGTTCAGTGCAGCACTCATTCCAGAACTCTCCTGTTTCAAATCCATTTGTAAAAATGCTAATGTTATCAAATTGACCTTAAAATTAAAGTCAGACCATTTAGGAGGACAAACCAGGAAGCACTTTATTCACAAGAGAGGTACTAGATTTCTAGATATTATAGATATCAAGGCTTGGAAGCTAGTGTAAGAAAATGCTGTTGAACTAGATTATCCATGATCTTATTGAATGGTGGAGCTGTCTCAATGGGCTGAATGGCCTACTCTTCCTACTTCCTGTTTCTATTGTGACGATACTGTGGCTTTAAGAGGTGTATTTGAATTTTTTTTTTAAAGGAAGAAAGGTTTAAAGTTGAAACAATAGAATAGGTGAGGTCAAGCTCCCACACCACCAGGACTTTTACTTTTAGCTTTCAGCAGTTGCTGGGGTCTTGAAGCTGGATGTGGAAGCTGTTTATCCCCCTATCTACTACAGCTAAAAGCTGGGGTTCCCTTCCTGCTGCTAGAATTGCATGTGAGATAATCTGTTTTACTGAATTTGCTTTTGCCAAAGGATATTACTATATTGGGACAGTTAATTAATAGTGGTCTACATATATTATTTTGTTAAGCATTTTGATACAGTTATAGTTAAGCCAATTCTTTTCTATTTACTTTGTCTGTATTTTAACTGCAGTGTAAAAATCAGGAACAAAGACAGAAGTTGCTGGAAGAGCTCAGCAGGTCTGGCAACATCTGTGAAGAAAATAATCAGAGTTAACGTTTCAGGTCCGGTGACCCTTCCTCAGAACTGATGGTAGCTGGGAAAACGTCAGTACGTATGCAGAAAATAGGGATGGGGATGGGGTAGGGAGTAAACGATAGGATAGAGCCAAAAGAGAGAGAAGAGCAGTTGGTTAGACAAAGGAGTTGATAACAATAGATAGTGTGTAATGGCAGGCTATGTGATAACAAGGCCTGGTGTGTGGGGTAGGGGTCTAGGACAGGGGAGAGTTTAGTCCCTAGAATTAATGAACTCGATATTGAGTCCGGAGGGCTGCAGGGTCCCCAAGTGGAAAATGAGGTGTTGTTCTTTCAGCTTGCGTTGAGCTTCGCTGGAACTCTGCAGCAAGCCAGAGACAGAGATGTTGGCCAGGGAACAGGGTGGTGCGTTAAAGTGGCAGACAACAGGTAGTTCAGGGTCTTTTTTGCGAGTAGAACGTAGATGTTCTGTGAAGTGGTCACCCAGTCTACGCTTCATTTCCCCAATGTAGAGGAGACCACATTGTGAGCAGCGAATGCAGTAGACTAGATTGCGGGAGGTGCAGGTGAAATGTTGCTTTACCTGGAAGGTATGTTTGGGATCTTGGATACTGAGAAGGGTGGAGGTAAATGAGCAGGTGTTGCACCTTCGCCGGTTACAGGGGAAGGTGCCGTAGGGCTGTGGGGAGGTGTTGGGGGGTGAAGGAAGTGTGGACCAGGGTGTCCCGGAGGGAATGGTCCCTGTGGAAGGCGGACAAGGGAGGGGAGGGGAATATGTGTCTGGTGGTGGCATCTTGCTGGAGGTGGTGGAAATGGCACCTGATGATCTTCTGGATGTAGATGCTGGTGGGATGGTAGGTAAGGACAAGGGAAACCCTATCGCTGTTGCGGGAGGGAAGAGAAGAGGTGGGGGGGGGGAAGTGTGGGAGATGGGTCGGACCTGGTTGAGGGCCCTGTCAACAATGGAGCTGGGGAATCCTCGGTTAAGGAAGGAGGTGGACATTTTGGAGGCTCCCTTGTCGAAGTTGACCTCATCTGATTTTATGCGATGGAGACGGAGAAACTGAGAGAATGGGGTGGAGTCTTTACAGGAAGCAGGGTGCGAGGATGTATAGTCCAGGTAGCTGTGGGAGTCATCGGGTTTATTGTGGATATTAGTGGCCACTCTATCCCCAGAAATGGAAACAGAGATGTCGAGGAAAGGAGGGGAGGAGTCAGAGATAGACCAGGTGAAAGTGAGGGCAGGGTAGAAATTGGAAGCGAAATTGATGAAGTTTTCCAATTCCAGATGAGAGAGGGAAGCAGCACCGATGATATCGTCGATATATTGGAGAAAGAGTTGTGGGTAGGGACTGGAAGAGGACTGGAACAAGGAATGTTCCATGTACCCCACAAAGAGACAGGCGTAACTGGGGCCCATGCGGGTACCCATGGCCAGCCCTCTGACCTGAAGAAAGTGATAGGAGTTAAAAGAGAAGTTGTTGAGGGTGAGGATGAGCTCGGCCCAGCAGAGGAGGGTGGTG